GACTTCCATGTTTGCAAAGAGCTCTCTGTAGGCAAACGCATTATCCTGACCACCTACTCTACTGCAAGATGACAACAAAACACGTCATTTACAGTGGAATTGCTTACAAACACAATATGTATTTCATATATTTTATTTATTTATGTATGTAATGTTCTATACATGTGTAATAACGCCTTCATTTATTCTTTTTTAACTCAGCCCTGTTTTTATTGCGAGTTTCTCTCTGTGCATGCAAATTTGTTCAGTAATGCATCTGTGATGTATTGACTGCATGACAATAAAGAAATCTGAATGGCATAAACACATACACAGGGCCTCCAAAGAACAGAGTTGTGCCTATTTAAATCAAGCAATATGAGTGTGCTAGTGTTTATGCATAAAGTGGAGGATCATGTAAATGTGCCTGTGGCCATTTCTTTTCTCTGTAGTCTTACCATCTGTGCACGCAGGTACATCTGTGCTTGGGTGGGTGTAAGAGTGGGGCTCGATGGGCTGCCCAGCAGAACAGCCTGCTGGGAAATAGTGGTGGGGGTTGAGCTAATATTCTGAGCTCGGCTGATCAGCTGAGCTGCCGCTGGAGACGTGGTCAGGTTGATCTATGGGGAGAGATAATCAGGATTATTAGGTTATACGTACGAGTCCTGAATAGATGTGGGGAGTTCTGAGACAAAAGCATCATATCCCCAACTATTAAATTCGACAGCATCAAATTCAATAGTTAAAATGTGTTCATTCTGCTAATATTTCTTACAGCTAAATACGTACAAAATCAAAAAGAAACTTGAATCTTTTTAAAGGTAAAACAGAAGGAGCAACCAAGCTGCTAGCATCCTGCTGCTAAAAATCAACTTGGCTCGATGATAATCCAACTGGACAAAGATAACTTAAAGAGGCTTTTAGGAAGGCAGCACTCCAAACTGCACTTACCGTAGCCTGAGTAGATCCTGTTTGCTGAGATGAAGTGCCATTTTGTGAAGAGCTTTGCCGGCCAGCCGCGATACTGGCCTATCACAAAGGTAGAGAGAGGCAGAAGGACAGGGTGAGTGATGCACAATTTCTGAAACATGTCTTGCAGCAGGTCAACAATAACTGCAATCATCATCATCTCTAAACTGAGAGAATGAATTATTTGTGATGCCTGCTTGCTGACCTGCTGTACAGCAGCCAGGCTGAGGCTGTGCTGCTGCTGGAGGGCTGCAGTTTGCAGCATCAGATGCTGCTGCTGAGCTGCATACATCTGCTGCAAGTACTGTGCTGCTGTGTTGGGCTGTCTATGCAATGCCTGCTGGAATACCTGCAAATAAAAACAGGTGCAAAAAAAATGGCCAGTTTAAAAAAAACATTTGATTTTTACATCTGAACTAAACTTTCATAAAATCCAAAGAATCACAAATTCAGTCACCTCGAAACAACATCAATTCTTCATGATATGTCAACAAAGCAAACCAAAGCCTCTGTGCCTCTACCATGTGGGTAATCTCAGTACAAATTTTTACATGATAAATAAAAAGAAAAGAAAATGGGTTTTATAATTGTATTTCTATAGCAATGCCATGTGTTTACATTATCTAATGGCACAGCAAGTAGACAAGCCCAGATATATCTGACAGCCACAGCCATGTGTCCGCCTACAGTGATGATTTGTTAAAAGGGAGCTACTTCATCATCCTCCAACATAACAATGCTTTCCAAAATATGCAAGAAAACCGCCCCTGCTGAACATGGAAAAGGCAAACCTGTTTCACCAAAAACACACCCTAAGTATAACCATGCAGCTTCAGTTCTATTGTGTGACAATGTTGTGCAGGTTTCTGAAGAGTTACAAGGTTACTTTAGTTATTGCGCAAGTATTAAACACTTATTTTAGACTTACTTAAAATTTCCTTGGAAAACAATACCTGTGTGACTTGTTGCACCATAATGCTGCTATTGCTGGCACCACTTCATTCACAAATAAAACGCTTTCTGTATTTCCAGAAATATTGTTGCAAATTTCATTGAAATATTGTGATATAATCTGAGGTTGTATCACCCACCTCCATACTCTCCACATTCTTCTATTATACAACCGCTTAAAGCCACCAACATCACACCTATACTAAAAACAGTTCTGTTCTTTGTACAGCCTTACCTGTGGTTTTTTGAAATGATTTGCTCTTTTACAAACATACAGCGGTGCTAGAACCATGCCAAAGGCATACAAAAAAAAAGCAGGCAACCCAAAAACTCTGATACCAGTAACAGTTGCTAATACATCCCCATATTTAATGCAGTTTTATTTACTAGGATCTTTGCTCATGCAGATTATCTGGTGGGAAAAATGAAAAGAAAATTGTGTGATAACAGTAAACAACATCAAGAAATGTCAGTTTGATTGCATGGTTATTATGAATTTAACATTTTACAAACTTTACAAAGTTTTAGATTTATAATTATTTTATCACTTGAGCTTATAAATCTTGTCCTGATTGTATTTCAAACTGCTGATTTTTCTTCATTAAGCAATAGTCATTAGTATGCAATATCTTTATCGAATCCTAAATGTGGTACAATCAAAATGTGTTGAATCTGAACTGATTGCATCACTGCCTATTTAACAGACTAATCGGGAGACAGAAGTCAGGGTTTCAAAACCTCCAATTACTGCAAACACACAAACAATTCTTTTTCCCTAAATGTGGGACAGAAAGGTTTCACACTGTGCCAGACACAACTCTAAGAAAGTTAAACCCCTACTACTGGGAAACCTCCTCTCCAAGTGCCCTATGCCATGTTTCCAAGGATTTTGACCTGCAGTCAACAGTGTCACAGAAGATGAAATACATGCATGAACTGATTTCCAGCAGTCCTTTATGCTCACAGTGCTGCTCAGTGACAATAGTGATTGCCTTGTGATTGTCAGCATGCTGAGGGGGTGAAAAGAAGGACTCAATCTAACAAAAACCCTGCTGTCAAACCATCAGCACTCAAAGTTGAGTGGACCTAATTCTGAGGGAGGCTAAGCCTGTGTAGAGGCTTACCCCGAGGGCAAGGGGTCAAAAGCACTAAAGCACAGAAAACATTCTTTCCTGTCTCCAAATTGGAGACATGCTCCAACATTACCACATATTTGAGATCCTTTACTGGGAAGACAAATTCCCTTTTTCATCAATTCCCTTTGTAAAAAACGATGCTACATCAAAAACAATTTTAGAAGCTTGTATGTCACTTTTAAACACCAACAGAGGGCAGTAGAGCAAAGAGTGTCAGGATGTTACACAGAATACCTCAACTTATGCTCTCAGCAGATTTATTACAGAACCAAAACACTCACCTGTACTGTACGGTCAGGTATTCCACTGTAAACCGATATCTGAGGCACTGCCGGTCTTCCAGCTGTAGTACTACTGCTGGAAGTACTGCTAGTGTTAGTACTACTACTACTACTACTACTACTACTGCTGCTGCTACTACTATTACTAATGCTAGTGGAAGTAGTAGAACTAGTAGTAGTCGTAGTAGTATTAGAGGTACTATTACTGCTGACAGCAGTGGTGCTGGAGGAAATGGTGGTGGACGGGGTGGTGGCTGCGGTGGTCCCGGTACTGCTGGCAGTGGAAGCAGGGGCCCCTGGCTCACTCTCCATGGTGCCCTCTGCTCTTTTCACCTTTGACCCCCGGCTCTTCTGAATGGCTCTCCTGTGCCTTCAAGAAAGAAGCAAAAAACCTGATGAATGTATGGAAGCTTGTTTCTGCCACTGATACAGAAGTTGGAATTAGTAATTTTTTTAGACAACCAACTCAATAATTATTAACCCAGAGTTTTGGCTCATGGATTGCAAAAATGCTTTAGGTTTCTATGTTTACATACAACTGAATGGAGACAAAGTAGTCGAAACAAGATGCACCTGAACATGGTTGTCAATAAACCATTCAACACCAGGTAAATGTAAGACCAGTGACACATCTACCGCATCAAAGTTATACCCAAACTGTTTTAGTTTGGGTAACAAAATTAATTTTACCACGGTTGGTCACATCCAAGGCCATATAAAGTTTACGGCTTATTATGGTTACATATACCAGATATTCTTAACAACAACTTGTCCAGAGATCCCTAACTATGTCACATCATTTAGTCAAGCACAAATATCTCAAGGTAAAATAATCAATCTAAAAATTCTTAAAAGCATGAACCTGAAAACTCAGTACATGTGGGGAATTTCAAAGAAAAAAAGTCAAACTTAAAGATCTTTGAAAATTTTAAACTAAATGAACTCCACAGGGTTCTAGGATGAAAAAGGAGATTCACATGAAAACTTACAAATGACTAAGAAGTTTTTCAAAGACTAAACTGATTGGCAGGCTGGATTAAAACTTGCAAAGGACTGGATTGAACCCCTACGTCTTCAGTATGACACATGTGCCACAATCCCTTTAAAGTATGAAAAATAAGTAAGTATTAATTAGTGCATCACCCTGCCACCAAAACAAAAGGCAAATTAGACTCATAAATGATCAAAGGGCCCAAAAAAGGAACTCAAATTAAGTAAAATCTCTTCTGAATAAAAACGCTGAACTCTGGTTATGAAGATTTCACCAGGTCCAGGTTTTGTGGATTTTATATTAATGTTAAAATTATCTCAAAATCTCAGCTTGCTCAAATTAGTACTTGCCTTCAAAAAACATTTACTACATAACTATAAAATCACTGTTTTACTTATAACTTTTACAGTTGAAACTAATCTTTATCACACCTATCCACCTTCTGCTCCTGATCAGGGTCTAAACCAATACCTTTAGACCTCCCTCTCCCCTGCTACCTCCAGCTCTTGTGATACACTGAGCCATTCCCATGGCTCAAAACACCTCACCCAGGAGGAGTCCAGAAAACACACTAGCACTAGTCAGATGCCTGAATCACCTTGTATGAAAGCGTAGTCGTTTTACTTCGAGCCCCTACCAAATTATTATGCTTTGAAAGAAACTCTTCTGCCATTTTGGTATCTGTGATTTTATTTTTTCAGACAAGACTCAGAGCTCGTGTCCATAGGTGAGGTTAGGAATGCAGATCGACCAGTGAATTACCAGTTTCACTTTTTCCCCCTCAGCTCAGTGAGCATTTCAGTGCTCAGTTTATCCTTCGCACCCAGCTGCAAACCAGCCCAGTGTAAGCTGTAGGTCACTGCAATCTTTTACTACAGCAACTACCTGAATAATCTCTCACTGCAGAAACCATGAAAGAGATCACGTCGAACTCTGCAGCCAATCATTAACTTTTTTCTTTTTTTTTACCCCGACTTAATTTGACACCCACATCCCTGTTGCCATGACTGTCCAGCCCCCACTTTGACAAACTACACAAAATATACATATATGTTCTGATACTAAGCATTCTCTCTCATACAAAACAAGACATACCATCTTTTTGGGGAGCCGCTTTCATTTTGTTGCTGCTGGGTTATGTAAGAGCCCCTATGCAATTCTCTTTATTAAGTTTCAAACAGTTTATACTCCCTTTGCTTTTACTGTTCAAAGAAGGGAGTTTTGATCTCATCGTTTACTTTGTATTTATGTATTCAATAAACTGAGCCAAGCTAAAGTTATATAAAGTCAGTACAAGTTACAAAACAAAGATAAGGATATCTCTTGTCATTTTGCTTAAGTCTGCTGTCTGTTCTCAAAGACGGATATGCTGTCCGACTGCATGAAATGAATATGCAGGATACAAACACGAGCTGGAAAATAAATGATACCTCTGTTTTCATGTAAAAATACACATAAAAATTGTATTTCAGGAATCCAGTGAACTCCACTGAATTTAGCATAAATATAAGGGGTAAGCAGACACTACAAGCCTAAATTAAGTCAACACTCAGTCCAAGAGTGTTGAGTGAATAAGATTTAAAAAAAATAAAATAAAAAAATGAATCCATTCCATTCAGTCAGTCACAAGAATAAGGAGGAATGATTTAGGGTCCTTCCATAAAAGCCTTTTTAGGTTTGGTCCCTTGGTGCTTTGCTATCCATTAGCACAGAACGAAAAAGGTTCAGAGCTCTCCGGGTAGACATGGTGGAGAAGATTTCAGCATGGCAGCTGATAAAAAGTGAAGATGATGGAAGGAGATCAAGCATCCTTCCTTGGTGGAAAATAAGCAATCTTTGGAAAAAGTCAGATTCTTTTGTTTAAACAAAGTCCAGCAGTTAATTTAAAAAAAAAAAAGAAAAGAAAAGAAAAAGAAGTAAAAAAAAAAAAAAAAAAAAAAAAAAAGCTCTCAGAGCAAGAAAAGAATCTGAACTCATTAAGATTCTGACTAGTGTCAAGAATGGGATTAATGAGCATGTTTGATGGGGGGGATCAGAAAGAATAACAATCACTGTATGAGTTAGAAAAGGGGGGAAAAGGGAGGGAGGAATTTCTAGCCTTCAGGTTATACAGGTTCACATTAAGTCACCGCAGCTACAAGGAAAAAGGAGCAAGTGAGAGGTGAAGGTTGAGTGAACAGGTTCAGGATTTTAAATGGGCAGGAGTGGGACGAGTGTGTAATGGAAGTAATTAAATAAGGAGCAATGCTGCCGCCATGCTGCAATTCTTAAGCCATTTCCTCCACATACTCATTCTTTTGAGCAGATTAGGAGCCAAAGCAAAGCTCTACAGCCCATTTAGGCTATAAAGGAGACTTGGAAACAATCTGCCATCTCACTAAACCACATGCTATTCCTTAAAATGGAAAACGCAGAACAGCTCACAAAAGGTTACAAAATATTTGAGCAAACCAGTGAGTGAGTTAAAAGACATTTTTTTAACATCTGTTTAAACAGCTTAAATGCTTTAATTGAAACCTTAGGTTGCATAACAAGAAAGGCAGCAACCAGTCAAATTAGGGCAGTACAAGCATCAATTAAAAATGCTTTTACATATTAACCTGATATATCTAACACCATTAAAGCAAAGAACTAGATCCTAATTTAAACTGGAGGAAAAATGGAAAAATGTAAAATACATATTCCAAGACCTTCTAAATTAAAAAGACCCTTATTTTCCATTCAGCGGTGCCAGTCACTGATTGAAAACTTGATGTTTTCATATTCGTGGCTGAAAAACTGAAATGCAGTCAGGCAGTGCTGGGTCCAGGTTGTAAACAAAGCACCACTGCTGCCAAAGCCTGCTTGTCTGTATGCCATCATTAGCCTACATCCCACAGTGTGCTTCATATTGCCTCCCCATGTGGGGAGAGGGGAGGGAATCCCCTCTGGTAATGATCCCTGCAACCCATGTCCCTCTGAGAGGAGTCACCCATCAATCAGTAAACAGTGCCATGTAGATCACCCCTTGCTCAGCCCCATCCAAGTACCACTTTTACATTGTTACATCCACAAATCTGGCTTTGAATTGGGTTTCATGGAGGACGACCCCTTGCACCCATGAAAAGTGCTATTCAGCTTTTTTAAGACAACATCAAAGCAGCACCAGCAGCATGAAACACAGTGCAAAGAGCCAGTCAATGCCATAACAATGTAATTTAAGTGCTGTTGGAGCATATTGATCCCCTCATGCTAGCATTACAAGACCACAAGAACTGACAGTCAGCTTTGCGTGTGATCCATTTCGCATATCCAGCAGGACGATGAGAGCTGTTAAGAGACTGTCAGACAGACTGGCTGTCTCTACAGAGCTTACATCACAGTAAGGAAGTGCAGAAACCTCCATCAGTGCCCATACAACTCTGATGACCCACATTAAAAATACTATGAGAATGCATTTGTCAGCTCCACTAATCGATTGATGTGTGATAATAGCTTTAATAGCTAAAAGATCCACAGAGAAATGTGTGCCTGTGTGTATTTTTATATATAAATTTCTGTGTGTGTGTGTGTGTGTGTGTGAACGTGCGTGTGTGTGTGCGCGCGTATCTGTGTGTGAAGAGGGGTACTCTGCTTCTGAGACAAAGCCCCCTAACTCTGGTGTTCCTACCTCCTCCGACACCCCCAACGCGATGCAGGGGTATGATGCCCCATCCCCCGGGGAGTGTGCTGTCCTCCTGCAGGATGTTGCTCCTCTTTCCTCTTTGTCTGCCTAAGTGAGTGGCTGGCTGCCTGGCTGACTGAGTGAATAAATGAGCGCGTGCAAGGGTGTTTCTGTGCAGCCTCCAAACCCCCTGCCCCTCTTGTCTACCCCCAACACACAGCAAGCTCGTCGTCCCAGCATCAACACCCAAGTCCACCAACCAGGCCACAGCCTGCCTCCTAATTATGTGGTATCCTAGCGACAGCCAACGGGCGCTTGTGGAATCCCCATGCAGAGCCGCATCCTGATTGGACAACAGGATCCTCTTTAATGAAGATGATGGTAATGATTTTACTCTCCCCTCCCCCTCTGATGCTTCCTGAATACTGAATTTTTTTTTTAGGATGCTTAGACCCTAACCCCCCCCATATCACCCAAATTATTTCCAAATAGCTGAAAATCCAAGATAATGAGGCATTTCATAAAAATAACCCTGAAATGCTTTTTCTTCTCTTTTGCTTAGTCTAGACCTGAACAGTGGAAAACCGAAGGCTTCATTCCTTTTTCAGTATTTCAGTTTTCACTTCAAGTCTGCAGCACAATTTCCACAAATAACCTGCAGTTGTAAAAGGCCCATTTTCCTTAGCATTCAGCTAAGGACAGGAACAGTGAGTCACAGGCTGAACAACGAAGGGGT